GACCGCACCACGTGATCAGATCACGTGATCGGATCCCGTGGCGCTCGCTCGCTGCCCCTCGCGTGACAGATCGCTTCGTTCCCCCGCCGTCGAGATATGGCCGAGGATGGTCTGAACGGTCGCGGACGGACCCGACGCTGATCACGAGGCCTGATGGCCGTCTCTGGTGCCGATGTATCCTTGCCCGCATATGGGCCCCAGACGCACGGCTAGGACCCGCACCAATTGGTGCGCAGCAGAGGCATGTCCTGGGTGGTGGGGAAACTTCAGGTTGGCCGTCGCCCGCCGGAGGCTCCAAGGACCCTCGCCCCAGTTAGCTCGCTTCTGGGAGGAGTGTCGCCCGTGGTAAGCGAGCCGTATTGCTCTCGCTCCCACTCCCACTCCCCCATCCCCACCCCCACCGCACCATAAAGGGCAGATGGCTGGGCCAAGTAGGGTAACGGGGTTCGGCGGGACCAGAAAGTGGCGCAGGGCCCGGCCCCAGTAACAGAGGCTCAGTAAAACACCTGACGAAACGACACACACCACGGGGGTGGAAGTTCGTCTGGCCCGCGGCCAAGTGGTGAAAACTGGTGTTTTCTGGGCACACGCGCTTACTATGCCACATTAAGCCCGTGAAATTACCTCCACTGAGCTACGACTTTAGCGTAGTAGTCATCTCCAACTGGACTCCATTTTTGGTCCGGGCTGTTTATCCACTTAAGTTCTCCTGAACACCCCCGAAGTGAGAATGAGTTTGGGATTGCCCGGACCTATTGTCCCATGATCGGGAAGCATCTCAGGTCGAGCATTTCCAATCAATGTCATTTGCATCGCTCTAAGGCCCAGCGCAACAATGCTTTTGTTTTCATACAGGTAGCTCAAATGTGGTGCCATGAAAACCGAGATGTCGTTTGTGGGGATAGATGAGCACTAAAGCCGAGCATTAATCACGAACTTGAAGAACTGAATAGCAATCGATCGCCTTTTCTGTCCGCAAGCAATAAATCATGCGCCAATGTCGTCTCTCAGAGCATGTTCTTCAGATAAAAGAATTTTTGTCAGACTGCTGGCCATAGATGCTCGTAAGAGCGGAGGCCATGTCATATCATGGTCGAGGACCAGAATGATATATGTTTGTGGTATATAAACCAGATATGCCAGATATGTTGTTGCATGCTGACTGACCGCGCTGGGCAAAATAAGAAATGACAATGACAAGGAGTTATGGGATGGTGACGAAATACCTGCTCCTGGCAACTGGCGTGCTATCATTTATGGCCATTTGTACAGATTAATATTGGGTGGCGCAAGCAATATATCAGGGAGTCATCTGTAGATGACAATCACCCAAATCTGCCCGCTCACTCTCGCCAGGAACACACCCCGACGCATTCGCCGCCGCTCACCCTCGCCAGGAACACACCCCGACGCATTCGCCGCCGCTCACTCTCGCCAGGAACACACCCCGACGCATTCGCCGCCGCTCACTCTCGCCGAGAACACACCCCGACGCATTCGCCGCCGCTCACTCTCGCCGAGAACACACCCCGACGCATTCGCCGCCGCTCACTCTCGCCAAGAACACACCCCGACGCATTCGCCGCCGCTCACTCTCGCCAAGAACACACCCCGACGCATTCGCCGCAATCACATACGAGAGACACGGCAGGGGAGCAAGAAAACGCCACGAAGCATGGCGGAACAGAATACAATGTTTGGTGTAAGCCAGAAAACAATTTCACATTTGAAGATATTAAAAAAGGCACCAGATGTGAGGAAAAAAGCTCACTTATCCGTGTTGGCATGCTTTTGAATAGAACAGACTGCTCTAGATATCCCAGTTTCCCTGTTTTCTAAATAGGCTCCTCGATGCGTCATCCTTTACGTCATCGCACTTGCACAACATTGGTTGAAAGCCAAATGACCGCAATTATATCCGGAAACCGTGCTCACGAACGCCAGGTGCGAATGACTCGGCCATGATATTTTCTCGGTGTTGATCGCCGCATTTTTATAAAACAGTAGGATTTAGCTGACGCCATTATGACGTAATTGAGGCGGTCAGCGGTTTAGGTCTTAAGAACGGCAGTGCTGTGAACTGCATCCAAATGTCTTCAAGAAGATTATTTCAGTTAAAACTGACATATCAATGTGGAGCACTCCCTGCAACCAGTGCTGCCGTGACATGTTGA